ACTGGAGGGATGAGGATTGGGCCTAGGGCTCTTTGCTTTTTACCAGTAGGTGTGGTAACAGCAGCCTTCACACAATAGATGATCAATTTGTCCTTCTGGCTTTAAAATCTGTAAACTTGAGTTCTGCAGATGTTGAAGCCCGTATAGGAAACGTCCCATTTCTCTCTTCACTTACCCTGCAAAACTGCAGAAGGTGTTAATTTTACTTTATAATGTAACTTTATTACAGGTGCAGATTCACTCTACAGAAATAGTTTCAGCCTCAGTGATGAAAAGCTTAACTCTCCAACTCCATCCACTCCAAGCTTGCCGTCTCCGTCCGTAACTCCATGTAGAGGTAAACTTAATTTCAACTGTTGACATTTCTTACTAATTCTCAACTATACAGGCTTCTTCCTGTGAGCCAGGACTCTCACTTTTTTAAAAATTACAACAAAACTAAGGGTCTCTGTGAAGCACAGTACAGATGAAAGTGTCACTGTGTGGCTCGGTAACAGCAATAGCACTCTGCATCCACAATTCTTCACCGGTGACCCAGCAACTTTTGATTTTTGAAACAGTGAACCATATTAGAGTTTTTGGTTGATCAGGAATTGTGGTACGCCTTACAGAATACTCCAGATTTAACTCCTGTTACTTCTTAATGAAGCAGCTGAGTAGCTTAAGTGTCCCATCTGTAGACAGAAATACTGAGCCTGCAGGCAGGGGTGCAGTACGACTTCTCCAAAGCGGTATGCTGCCATTCAAGTTAACACAAACCCTCAAATCCATATAGACCTTATTAGTAATACCTTCCTCTTTCGTAGCTATGCTGTTTCAAAGTGGCTTCTGTCTTGCAGCTAACTCCCCAGGAGCTTGTTTCATTCAGGTTAACTTAGACTCACGCCGAGGCAGACACATCAATAACGGAGCAGTCGTACATTGGTACTACATAGTGCTGTCGTTACAACTAGTCTTCTCGGATGCATGCTGAAGGGCTTTTTATGCTTTCTTGTCTTTTCCACAGTGACCAGTCACAAAAAAACAAGTTCAATTCTTTCTGTCTAATTATAGGATCATAGAATTAGCATGATACTAGAGAGAAGTAAGGAGTAACAGTTAATAAGACGTAGTGGAAAAGAGTTCATCTATACTGGCGGGAAATACTTGGCAAGGAATTACACTGAAGGTGAAGATGCTCTTCCTGATGAGAAAACAAAAAGACAGAAATAGAGTTGGAATTGGCTTGGAAGAGAACCACAGAAAGGAGCTAAAGAAGCCACTTGCAGTAAACCTAGATCGAATGGAGCAGGTGGTGTTCTTGAGAGTGGAAATTTAGGTGGATGTTTGGATCCAAACATCCAAGTGCATGGACCAAGATCAAAGCATCTGACACCACCACAAAGCAGTGACACTGGCGTGATTTAAAAGGCGTGGCTTTGGGTAGGACTGGGAGGTAACGGTGGGTTTTGATGAGGGTGGGGTTTGATTCAATATCTGAACACATACCGTAAGGAAGACCCCCACAGCACCAAGGACGTGGATGAGTTGACATACAGCTTTTTTTTTTTTCTCTCCACTTCGGCCTGTGCTTTTTAAGGAAACTAAACAGAGGATTGGTTTGCTTTGCTTCTGTCAAATGGAAAACTATAAAAACCAGAATCTGAGTTCAGTCTCCCCTCTTTCCTAAAAACGCTTTTGGACATTGCAGCAACCCTGCTGAAC